CTAAAACTATACCCAAACGGAAGTGAATCGCACGTTCAAAATTTACGAACTTCACTGCGCATGTGCAAAGACTTCAAACGTAAGGTTTGGCGTACGGAAGATATTTCGCATGAGACACCGGTACCCGTACGGTATGACCACACTGATCATGGCACCCAAGATTTGTTAATTGTACCTACTTTCTATAACGCTGTTGTTTTTTGCCGTAGCCTGATGACAATTTTAAAGCATAATAATTTTAAATGAATACAAATGTTCACCCGATACACAGGCGTCTAAGTTACCACCCCAGCAGCGAGCTTTTACATTTCTTAAGTTGAAGCCGAACTTTCCCGAATTAACCCGAATAGCCGCCTGGGTCGACTTAACCATTGGTATTGTGAGTCATCCTGATTTTAGGTAACACATGTACACTGTGAACAATTACAATGTTGATATTTACAACACTATTAATGTCGTTGATAACCAAATGTATGTACATTTCACATATTTCAACGTTTGAATACTAGAACATTACCGGGCCATAACAGCTTGTAAAACCGTTAACAAATACCTACACTGTAAGTGTTAATTTTACGCCGTGATGAATACGAGTTGGAATTACCATGGAAGGTACTAACGGAATTACTAGATAATTTAAATTGACCCAACCGTGGAATGCTAGAATTTTGAGAAGGGGTGCGATAAGAATATTGCTTTGTCAGTATTTCTCCTGAACTGTGACTAAGTGTTATGGACAACATTTGCAAACATGTGCAGCCAGGGTACCTGACCACTGTACCCATGGTAACCTACTCTCCACTACCATCTGGAGAAGAAGATCAGTTCCTAATTGGATTGGTTACCTGATCACCATACCATTGGTTATCTACATTGTCGCATACGACTTGTTTACCACTTCCGTGTGACTGAGAATGTTCTAGAACCGTACTGTGTCTGGGTGGAATTTTTAGAAACTGGTTGAATAGGTAATGGAACATTCTAGAAATTTGTAGTAAGTTCCAGACTCATTACAGTATGTATGCTGATGTAATGGTCTATTTATAGACAGTGTGGGTATATATAGGGGAGTTGTTCAGCACTGAGTTCAGATCGGAGATCTCGTTGAATTGTATTGGAGTTTCTAGTTATTGGAGTAGTGGAGTTTTACCGCGTTATTGTACTTGATGTTTGCAGAGTATAATAATACCAGTACCAGTTGAAACCTCATCTGTTGGCTCCGTGTTCGTATCTTATCATCGCCGCCAGGGAAGTCTTTTGTTACTGTTGCCATTTTGGTATTTGAATCATCACACCTGTACTATATCAATTACGGTATTATTACGTTGCGTGTGACATACATGATCTGCTTAGATTTGTTTATTGACCATGTAAATTCACTGCAACATTATGTAAATTGGTAATTCACACATTTGTCACTGTCAGTTGATATAGCACATGGGAAATATGTATAAGATACATCCATAATTTGGAAATTATTTGAGCTTGGACCTCATTTAGTTTAGTTAGTCAAATAATTCCATCATTTATTCAATAAAAATCCAACAATTCCTACTAGAAATTTGCTGCACTTCGGGAACTGTGTCATATATGATAAATAAATAATCTCCCAGTATTCCTCACTCATACTACGTCATCTTAGTAGATACAACTGCTATATATGAAGTTGTCAGTATGACGTCACATCCGTTCAGAATTCTGAGGGATTATATACAAGTATAATTGTAAATGGATAAGGGCATTTATTGTGACATGTGCCACTGTGGACAATCAGCTGTTAACTAATAATCATGTATATGCTTTGTGTACATGTATTGTTGTCAAGAACCATTGATTGGTTCCATTAATTGGTTCTTGAGAAATTCTCAACAAGCCATGCTTCCAACTGTGCCGTGCTTTCGAGGTAACCGTTCATTGTTAGTAAATTGGATCAATTGTGTAGTTTTCTTGATTTATTCTGTAGATATCGGTGAAATATACGTAAAGCTTCGGCGAAATTTGAAAGATCAACTAATAATCTTCAAGCATGTATTCTTTATATAGATTTTATTTTTCATTCTTTTCGTCTGTTTTTCCAGTTTAAAAAATATGGCCTTGCTGGAGCCTTCATCCCTGGTCTATTTCTTACATTAAATACCAACCAATGCCCCCGCTCATGGAGACTGCTTACAGTTGATTATATTTCCTGGGCACCCTGTGGTGAGCCTTACGACCTAGTGCAGGGTAACTTCCTTTATATATTGATAACAAGACAATCATGCTTGATTCATATAAAATACAGTCGGTAATCATGTCCTTACAACAATATGTTCTGTATTTCACGTTATCCAGAAAAAGAAAAAAAATCAGAACATTGAAAAAATTTAGTATAATCTTGAAATAAGAGTAACTTGATTTGATGATGTACGTATTGCAAAATGTGATCGATAAACGACTGGGGTACAGTCTTCGGGGTGCTGTCGTATGCACGATGAGTGCGTGACCACGATTAGACACAGTTTGTTGTTCGGATCTTGTTGCTCGTATTGGACGAGTTAATATCAGGCTAACCTAATAAAGCGGACGAAACAAGTTTAGGATGAATAAACTTGTGGGACGAATCGCGAATCGACTTGGGACAAATGTGATTTGTGATAATCGACCGTAGAGGCCGAATGATCAGCGGAAGGAGGTCAAATTACAGGACTGTACCTAGGGCTAATTGAACATGTACACAGGATGGGATCATGTCATATCACATGGAATTCACGATGTGCTCCCCGAATGTTACTCACTTCAATTAACTGGTAACTGTTGGCTTCCTTAACCATTTATCTAGACATTCAGCTTTTCCATGAATGATTAGAAGACTGGTTATCTTATTTCTTTTCACGGACACTAAAACAACACGTTCATTGATCAGCCATTTATATTCTGACCTCCAAAACAAATGAGAAATTTATACTGGAAAACTAACTGTGGTGGCGCTGTAAACAAAAAACGCCGAATGCACCAATTGATGTATGCACTGAAACTTTATTTTCATGGACATTGGGGGCGTTTTTGTTCACAGACATGCCACTGTTCTAAAATAAAATCACATAAACAAATAAAAAAAATGACGATCTGTTGTTTCTCCTATTCATTGACATAGCATAGAATATATCCAAGATCACAGACCGAATATTGCGTTAAAGCCGTTTTAGGGATTTCTGAATTCCTGAATTTCCTGAGTAAATCTTATTTATTTTATCGCTTGTATTTTTCATTTTTCGTATATATATATATATATTTTTTATTACACACCGTATTTGCTTTATTAGTAATTCATGTCAGAGGAATTTGGATGTAGGTGTACTACTATTGGAGATGCGCTTCTAATAAAGTAAATACGGTATATATGTTATTTATATAATCGCATTTTGGGTTTTTGCGATTATCAAAGCTGTGACCTCTTAAATGTAGAATATTTAGTATATATATATATTAGTATATCGAACCCTATTTTAGCCATTGAGAGAACACTAATGTAAATATTTATGCACATTGCATTATTACTTTTATTCTCTCTTTAGTTCCTACTCAGCTTTCATAATATATTACATGTCTAACATGTTTCATTGCACCAATATAAGGTACAATTATAATATAATATGGTAGTGTTTATTTAACAACGAGCAGCCATAAGCCCTGCCCTCGTTAAACATACCTTATACCTACCTAACCCTACCCTAACCCTACCCTAACCCTAATTTATTGCATATAGTTAATTACTTTATTATTTCATATATGAGTAAAACTATATTATGGTGAACCACTATATCACTACTAGTTTGTTATCCTACGCAATACGTACAATATGCGACATTTTATATGCCCCTCCATGAGATTTATGCTATAATATATTCATCTACGGACCTATCTGTGCCTACTTCCTTTCTCATTAGCGACGACACGCCCACTGCTACAACTAGCACAATCTAGATTCGCGTTAGCTCTGATATTTTTCGTGTATATTCGATCGTAACTTCATCGTTACTTGTGTGAACACGGCGAGATTTTTAATATAGTGACTTACATTAGTCACAACACCATCTACACTCATATCGTTGCGATTTCGCAATTTATTCAATTTATACAGCCGCTAAACGAACGTCCAACTAGCACAATTTGAACCGACTACGCCATCCACTAGCCTGGATGACAGGATAATCGGTGAGTTTGTATCGACCAATCAGATTCACGTATCGTACTCACGTCTAAGCTCCATCCGCTGCTGCCACTAGCACGGATTTGAGATTCGCGATAGCCTCGATATTTTTAATGTATTTTCGATCGTAACTTTAACGTTATTTATGTTAACTTGGCGAGATTTTTAACTTAGTGACTTACTTTAATTACAATACCGTCTAGGCCCTTTTTATTACGTTTTCGTAATTTATATTTTTAATACAATCGCTTTATGAACGTCTTACTAGCACAATTTGTTTTATTCTAATATTCTCATTTTTCTCGCACTTTTTCTTGTATTAACCTCTACTTTGTTGTTCTTTTCCGATTTTTAAACCACGTCCTTTCTTTACTATACATCTCGGACTTATGTTGTATACTCCTTTCTTATTTTTAACGCATCCGTTTTCTTTTTTCGTTGTTTAACCAACTTTCAACTAACACAATACAAGCCATTTTTATTATCGTTATGAAATATTGATGCCTATTTATTGACCAATAGGATCACGACTATCCCATTACATAGTAGCAATGTTTTGCTCTGCCAGCCGATCCTATAAATAAGACCGTCAGAAACATCATTATTCATTCCCGTCATGTCTGCAGCAGAAGATATCAACACTATCGAAGATTTCGACGTGGTGTTTGATACACACATGCTAGACCTGACGACAGACCTATAGATTCTCTACCAACTCCAGCACAGAGACGTTTACCAGACGCTATCTTCTCTGAAATTAAGGGTAAGGTTATCCAAACTTGACCGGACTGAGTCTTCTATTGTCAATCAGATTAAGTCGATTCATAAATTTTCAATATCGGGAAAAATTCCCAAGGGTTTGGTGGTTTCAAAGAAAACCGTTATACCTGGTTTGAAGCCGTCTACGGCATTCCTACAAAAGTGGGAACTCATCTCAAATCAGGCATCGAAACAGTACACTAAACTACTCGATATTTATCTACCGACGCATCTGAAACAATTTCAGGCCGTTCTGGTAAAGGAAGAGAAGGACGCGTTTGAACACATCAAACGCCTGGCTGGAGACGAGCATCAGGCTCTGGCTGTCAATAAACTGAGGCAATTCCTAAAACAAACGAGGAAAAGAGTACAGGGCAGTAAAGGGCAGTAAAGGGCAGGAAACGTACTTCTAGCCTCAAAAAAACTAGTGCTTCGGCACACAAACCAAACGGCCCTTTTTAGGGCCACCACATCCTCCATAAAGAGAACTACCGTTATTACTATGGATTCTGTCCATACAATAAATAACACAAAATGCAATAGACACTTCTTATGTAAGAAACACATTGCAAGATGCAAACGAAATACAATGCTAAAGTGGCTAAAAATAAACGGTTGGTTGATCAAGCTCGGTTGGTCTCAGGTTTTATTCGGTATTTTTCGAGTAGAAATCTGACCCCAACAGAGGTCATTGCCCTTGGCAACGGACTCAAATTTATACCAACCCCACCCAAGCCAACCTATCACACTTTGCTCAATGGCATGTCTGTAGGAGAATGCGTATGAAATATTTAATGCGCAATAAACAATCTCAACAACATCCTTTCAAAATGAAATCAACATGGAACCCACCAGACTCGCATAACAGTAGCCTCGAAAATTACATTGAGGCAACCGAAGTTGAGATATCCAAAATTACTACCAATAAACCCAAACAAAACATGAATTCTGCCGAAAGAGCAGCAATAAATAGATTACATCATGATAACACAATTGTAATAAAACCATTCGACAAAGGTCGTGGCATTGCAATCATGAATACAACTGACTATATATATGAAAGCCTTCGTCAATTAAACAACGAACAATACTACACTAAAACTGGTGGTAACGATACTATAGTCACGTCTAATTTGGTCCATAAGCTCGTCACGAAAATGTACAATCTGGATTTAATCGATTTCGACACGTATAAATATACAGACCCATTTAACTACACAGTTAGAACGCCCCGGTGGTAATGTAAAAATCGTATTTGAGGGCACAGCTTTAATAGAAGCCGCACCCCTAACTTGAGACATTGTTTCAAGTTTTGATCCCAGGAAAAAGTCTGCAATATAAGCCGCACCCCAAACTTTCACAAACCAAACAGCCACCACATATTTCAGAAAAAGATATACCATTTAATTTTAAATTAAGGCATACTTTTTCGAACATTTCAATGATTTCTGACGATTAGATTAAAGTCTAATCACAGTCCCTCCACAAGGAGGAGGGACTGTGGTCTAATTTAGATTTTCCGTAGTCATTGACGCTTATTCCAGAGTACAGGTTTATTGTGGGTTGCGTGAATGGGTAAACTGCGTTTCGATAATGAGCTGTTATTATCGTCAAAAGTGTTAAATTTTCCCCATCAATAAATCTGAGTCTGTTAGTTATAAGTTTGATTGAATCGGTGAGTGAATTCCAACCTTTTATTGCCGAGTATTTCATACTGTGTTGGTTTAATGTAAGATTGACTTTAGAAAGATTGAAGTTTTCACGCCGAGACATGGATCTATAGTGTATTCATATTTGCATATAATTTACATGCGATGAACTCTGGGCAACGTGGCCTACATAGTCGATATATACAAGTGACAACACTTCACTGGACTGCACAATACCCGGATGTTTCTTTCTATTCTACACCAAGCTCTAATCGTTGATCATTAGATCGACAAATTCTACCGAGTCCAGTGATACGGTACGCAAGGAACGTACCATGGTGAGGTATACATTATTCCACGTCATTCGTGGTAATAACTAGCAGCCGATGCCCCAACCAAGGAGACCAAGGATTTACGACAGTAGTTGTAACCTCCAGTTAAAACACAGGGAGTTGGACAAACTTATGTATTTTAATAAATTATTAAATAATAAATTGTTATATAACTTTTCTTTTACCCCCCCCCCCCCCCGCGTTTCAACCCTTGGGATATTTTACTATAATAGAACGTATCTACATCGCGCGTTAAAATTTGCATATAACATTAGCGCGTAACAAAGTTGTGATAAAGGAAAGAGTGGTATAAACAAAGATCAGTGATTACTTGAAATCGATACCAGGAAGGGTGGGTAAAAGAAAAGTTAAATAACAATTTATTATTTAATAATTTATTAAAATACATAAGTTTGTCCAACTCCCTGTGGTTAAAACTACTGGGAATCGTTTGCAGATTTGATGGGTGAGACAATGCAATGAAATGAAACAATTGTGAGAATTATACTTGGTAACATATTTATGTGATAGACTAGTTGCCATGGTATCAAACTAGAAATACCATATTCGACATTCCACAACACAAACCACGCTCTCTACCATCGAGTTGTAAACCATGTTTCAGGTAACCCAACAGTGACCTCACATATTGTCATTCATGTCTCCACTCTTGATCAAACAATCGGACGTTAACAATGAAACAGGACCCAGCATATTTCCAATGTGACCTAAGGAGCGAGTGTTAATAATACAAAGGGTAACCTACTTAGAGAATACGCGCAGATTTGTCGGTGTACTTAGCATATACAACATATACACCTAACTCACTCTAATTTGTTAATATTATCTTTAACACGTAAGCAGATTCACTTTCAATACACAAATATGGTAGTTTGTTACCTTGCCATTGTTATGCAAATAAGGTGTTTTGTCAGAACTGTGATTGGTAGATCATTGTCAGTAGTTTTATAAAATTGGTTTGAAAGTATATCTGTAACCCTTATTGTATATGCACGTTAAGTTCTATTTGCATATACAGTCATTTATTTCTTAAAAGCATGAAAGTTGTTTTTTTTTCATAAATTTAAAGCAAATGAATATATTTTACATGTATGGCAGTAAATTCGTCAATGATTGAAGAAAATACTCACAGGATTGTGGGTAATGGTGATTATTTGAATGAAACATAAAGGTCAACAGAGGTGAAAGTATTACAGATTTCCATACAAATTATTCATGCCTTTCATATTTTATGAACCTTGTCAATTGAATCTAATCCATGTCAATTGAATCTAATCCATGTCAATTGAATCTAATACATGTCAATTAAATCAAATCCATGTCAATTGAATCTAATCCATGTCAATTGAATCTAATCCATGTCAATTGAATCTAATCCATGTCAATTGAATCTAATCCATGTCAAGTGAATCTAATCCATGTCAATTGAATATAATCCATGTCAATTGAATCTAATACATGTCAATTGAATCTAATCCATGTAATTGAAGAATTTCTGTGTGACCTTTGCCGTGTGAATTCACAAAAAAAGGTACTGTTATAAATTTGCATATAATCTGAACTGGCCCAGCCTCCAATAATGTTGTCACATATTTATGAAAGTTATGTTATAATCAACTACATACATATAGCCTGTAGGCGTGAGTAGGCCCTCGCCGAATTCGCTAAGTTAACGCCTTTTTGCAATGAGTTCAATGAATAAAGCAGTGTTTCCCGGCAAAAATCACAGACTGCTTCCAACAAGATGATAAACATTGGCCAGCACCTTATCACGCATTATATGTCAACAAACAAATAAACTCTGCCAAGAATGGGTACTCTTTGATAGCTGGCACTATCTGAAGTGTCTGCAATTTGATTGGTACCGACAATAATCGTTGTTGAAGTGAAAAACTACACCGTTTTGTGTGTTGGGTTTGGAGCAACGCGGAGAGCGCAACTCACGCGACCTCGTCAAGCTACTACATACATTGCATAAATGAACATATATAATGAAATGAGCAATAAATTAATTAATCATTAATTTGCATATTTAGTTGATGATTTCATTCAATCTAACTACTTAGGTTTGTTTCCTTAGAAATAGTTTCCATTGGTTGATAAAATGTTAGTGATAACACACAATACATATAATAAATATCAGTTATTTTTGATTTCAAATATTGCTTATATGACTATGTTGTGGAAATGATCTGAAATTTAATTTTCCAATTATGAAACATTTTTAGTGGTAAAAATTACCAATTTGTATGAATTGAATTTCAATTTAATTTCAGTTGAATTCCATGATATAATGGATTCACACAAAGCAATGTATGTTTGAAAAACAAACACAAGTATAATTTTTCTCACATAAATGTTTCTTATTTATAACAATAAAACAGACATACATGGTTCAAATAAAGTTTAAAATACAGATTGCTTCATTGTATGTAAATGTCGTTCATTACATAAATATAAATAACGGTATAAAAATAATAACTCATAGTGTCGTCTTTACAGAGTGCAAACAAATAAATAAACTATGTAAGCATATTAATTATCATGTTACAACAGTGTACTTGAAATATAATTTATGCAAAATACCCTAAACTTTTTTTCTTGAAACTGCTGTTCTATCAATAAATATGACAGCTGATTTGAGTAAGTTGATAAAACGAAATATGGATTGAAATATGTAGTTATAATTGTATAATACTTAATAAATAACTTCAACATTAAGTATGCACATTCTCTGGCTTTAATTATTCATTCAGTTGATATGCTAGGGTTCATAAATGCTGCATTTTTAATATTAACATTATTTTAACTACAGAAGCTTACTCAATCAAGGTTTTTTTTTTAATTCTACCAATAATTTCACTGTATATTGCAATCAATGCATTTGTCACGCAGATCATTGGTTTGTTCTGTATTTTCTTGGATAGCAATTGGGTATGTTTTTCTACTGTTAACCAGTTCCCTCTTTTCATCACAAATTCATAAAATAGTTTCGTTTATAGTCTGCACTTTCCTTAAGACGATTGAGACAAAATAAGCCACATTTTTTGAGTAAAAACAGAAAATTTACTCGAATTTTGTTTGTTGGCTCCAAAATTAGGGTTCATTTAGAAGAAGATTGAAGAATATAAGAAAAAATGTGCAGAAAAATTTGGGTCTGAAAGTCTGGTGGTGAAAAGGTTAATCCATCCCAACCATTGAAAATGTCAAACTCAAAGATTAATACCACAAACTATTCTAGATAGAACTATACATATTTGTATGCAAATTACAATACCTTATCATTAGTATGGGCTTTTTTTGTGCCATCACACTTTAACAATGTCAAATCACATTGTATCATTTTAAATGTTTGTAAATTATTGAATGCTTTGTATTGCCGTAGAGGTATCAATGTGATCACAAAGCAGCATGACCATGCAGGATAACACACAATACCTTTACTATCAGGATTTTAGCCAGCCACCTTTTATTTTAGAAAGACACACAATTTGACAGGCTATATTTCTTCAAACCTGTCAATGTGTAGTTGATAATTTTCAGTTTTTACCATAAAACCATAAATAATCAACAAATAATAGTATAAATATGCAGAGCGGCAATTACTATATCTTGCACTTCAATGTAAATTTTGGACTGGCTCTTTTTATTTCCTGGCTATAACCCTGTCTATAACCATGGTTACAAAATTGCATGTATGATGTATGTAGACTTGTAAATTCTTATATCTGTGTCATTTCAGTGGTGTGTTCAGTAAGTCAGTCTATATTTCATTGAGCATGCGCTCTTTCAGGTTCAGTTGACGTGTCACTAAATGGACTGACTGAGGGAACAGTGTCATGTTTTGTTACTTCATGGATAGCGTGGGCAAGATAGTGATTATTCTTGGATGTTATACCAGCCACATTGATTCTTCCGTCTTTTGTGAGGTGTATACCAAACTCCTTTGTGATCCTGTCCACCTGAAAGTTACAAAGTGAGAGTAATGAAATTACCATCATGGTTCAGACAAGTTTACATATTCAAATACCGAATCCATGAAGTTTACATATTCAAATACCGAATCCATGAAGTTTACATATTCAAATACCGAATCCATGAAGTTTACATATTCAAATACCGAATCCATGAAGTTTACATTTTCAAATACTGATTCCATGAAGTTTACATATTCAAATACCGAATCCATGAAGTTTACATATTTTAATACCGAATCCATGAAGTTTACATATTCAAATACCGAATCCGCAAAGTTTACGTATTCAAATTCATGAAATTTACATATTCAAATTATGAAATTCACATATTCTAATATCGAATCTATGAAGTTTACATTTTTGAAAACCAGGCGCTGATTTCCACTCGACTACAGTACTTTGCGAAGAGATAATTATAGCCAACCAACCACACTATAAGTACACTGTAAATTAGGCTCCTACCTGTTCGATTGTGAGTCCAGTGTAACAGAACATACCGATCTGATCAGTGATGTGCTGCCAATTACGAGTCGACCCTTCTTTCTCCAGGTTGTCTACGAGTTGTTGACGCATTAGCATAATTCTATAAGCCATACCTTTCAGCTCCCTCAACCTGTTAAAGTCAGAGCGTTAAAACAACGTTTGAGTGAAAGAAGTGCACATGAGTATTCAAAATATGTTCTTGTCAGTTGTGTATATATATCTATATACATACCGGGTATACTTACATATATTGTAAGTAAATATGGTTGTATAATGTGCATCTAGTGGAGAAAGTTTGTGTGCATTGTAAAGAGTAATTCACATCTGGATGGCTAGATATTGCACACCACGCCCTAATCCCCAGGCCGTAATAACAAGATCATGTGTTTAACTAAATTGCATATGGCTCGATACGGTTCAATTAATATGTTTAAAAAAAATACAATGGGGATAGTGATACAACCAACAACTGGCTTCTCAGTTCGGGTATATTTGAAATTATGTCTAGAAATGGCTGGAATCATGTAGACTCACTATAAGGTTCCACATCATTATTTAGTCCGAAAGCCCTATTTTTTGAGAGTGAGGGTGGTTGTGAGGTTG